CGAAAATTGGTGTTCCAAGTGAACAAAATGTGTTGATTTCAATCTGAGATTCATTTGAATTCTCACTCAAACACGAAATTTAATTGTTTCCCATTGAAATTTATTTACCAGGAGAAAAATAATTTTTTCAACCTCAATTCTGCATTGCAAAACCAAGCAGAATTCACGCAAATAAAAAGAAAAATTAGTATCCAATAATATTAATAGAAAAAGTCTCGAGAAAAATTTAAGCAATAAAAAATTCGTCGGATTTTTTCGTATTGAATATCCAATTAAATTTGCAAAAGAACGAATAGAATTTTAACAAGAACTCCTATTGAAAGTATTCCTTCAGTAGAATTTCCATTGAATTTTCAAACACGTGCCACCGCAATTAGAAAAAAGAAATACGGTGATTATTGTTAAGTCATGATTCAAATAAATAATGAACATTGTTGCGTTAATTTTGTCTGACGACGAGGAAATCAATGTTCTTTCAATCCTGATGATCCCTGGGGGAGTCAAGCGAACGATTTCAATCAAACGAGAAGATATTCGTAACCGATGACTCTCCAATGACTTTCTTTCCCTCCAGAGAGCTTGTCCAGTCGTCGAGGCTCAGCTGAACTTCGATCAACAACCGAATGTGTCAATCCGTTCAGTTGATGACTCAGTTTACGAAGCATTTAAGTGGTTCTGACAGGTCATACCATCACCATATCCTCATCAACATTAATTATGGTGGGGAAGGAGTTATCGGTCGAGCTCTGTCGATGGATCGCCTTTTTTCGAGCTAATGCATCTGAGGAGAAACAAATCGTCCATCAATTTCCAATAAACTTGAGCAATAGAGCAACAAAACTTTTGAACTAGTGGTGAATTTGTTAACTTCATCCTATTTGTTAACTTCAATAGATTTTCTAATGAACTCACGATATTCATCGTATGTTTCATATCAATTAATTTCCTCAAATCCATTATTTCCTTCTGGACTTACCAGCAGAGGTAGGCAAGAGGTCATCAAGACTTCCATCATCAAGATCCGTAGCAGATAGGAGCAGATCATCATCAGAGGAGGCCCTCGTCAAGCTTGGAAGGGTCGACGTGAGCAGAGCCTTCTCCTTCTGAATAGTTTG